GAGGTTCGATTTCCAGTCAGGGTACATGCTGGGGTTGTGGGCTCGATCCCCAGTTGGGGACATGCAGGAGGCAGCTGATCAATGAAGACTCTCATCACTGATGTTTCTCTTTCTCCCTCTCCCTTCCTCTCTCTGAAACCAATGGAGATATATTTAATAAATAAATAAATGAATAAATAAATAAATAAGTAAATAAATAAAATGAAGTAGCTTTTCTCTTATAGTATGATGTTTAAAGCATTTTTTCTTTTTAAGGCCCCAGAGCTCTTTGAGAATAAGCCTTACACAGCCACTGTTGATTACTGGAGCTTTGGGACCATGGTGTTTGAATGTATTGCTGGATATAGGCCTTTTTTACACCACCTGCAGCCATTTACCTGGTAAGAAATGGAGAGCTTTGGTGTGCTTAATGGGAATGAAAATTTTCAGTTGCCTGTTTTTTTCCTTCTCTATTTAAGTAATTGCCTTTTAAACACATAATTGAATAAAATTAAATGGCAAAAATCTTAGCATTTTCTGTGAGTTAGTTTGTCTTCTGAGGTAGTTTTTCTGTTTTTTTATAGGCATGAGAAGATTAAGAAGAAGGATCCAAAGTGTATATTTGCATGTGAAGAGATGACAGGAGAAGTTCGGTTTAGTAGTCATTTACCTCAACCAAATAGCCTTTGTAGGTAAGTGTATTTTAGTTGAGGAAGTTCGCCTCAGTTTCTTCAGGGTTGTAAAAGGACAGTAGAGTTGTCTGTTTCAAGTAGCATCATCCAGTAGAACTTTCTGCGATGATGGAAATGTTTTATATCTGCTGACCACAATGAGGCTATTGAGCACTGAAAGGTGAGTAGTGTGACTGAAGAACGGAATTTTAAATTTTATTTAATTTTAATTAATTTCAGTGTAAATGCAGATAGCCACTTGTGAGTAGTAGCTTCCATATTGGACCATACAAGTCTAGTGGAAACAATGAATGCTGCCATTCAACTGATTGGCTTAGATAATGAGAAGACTCTTGGGATACTGACGTAAATGAGTTCCTTGGAGAATGGAACTTACTGGAATTGCCTCCTGGAGTTGCCAGTAACTAACTTACGTAAATAGGTTTTGGGTTTTTTTGTTGTTTTTTAGAGAGAGAGGAAGGGAGAGGGAGAGAGCAAGATAATAAAAAAAATCTATGTGAGAGACAAACATTGATTGGTTGCCTCCTATACACACCCCGACCAGGGATTGAACCTGCAACCTAGGCATGTGCCCTGACCAGGAATCAAACCCAAAGGGGATGAAGTTCCAACCAACTGAGCCACACTGGCCAGGGCTGGGTTTTTTTTTTATGGAAAAAGTTTGTCCCCTATCATTTCATGAATTATTTGTTTTTCTTTTTATTTATATTTATTTATCCTCACCTGAGGACATGAGAGAGAGAAACGTTGATCAGTTGCCTTCTGCATGTGCCCCAACCAGGGATTGAACCCAAAACCCAGGCATGTGCCCTGACTGGGAATGGAACCGTCAACCTTTTGGTGCACAGGATGATGGTCAACCAACTGAGCCACTCTAGCCAGGCCATTTCATGAATTATTTGAAAGTAAGATATAAAATAATACAGACAAGTAATCAGAAAGGAAATGGACAACCTATAAAATGACCTTTTTTGCAGTACTAAAGGAAAATTGGAACAAGGATTTTTCACCCCATTTTTGTGTGTTTTCTAGTTTAATAGTAGAACCCATGGAAAACTGGCTGCAGTTGATGCTGAATTGGGACCCTCAGCAGAGAGGAGGACCTGTTGATCTTACTTTGAAGCAGCCAAGATGTTTTGTATTAATGGATCACATTCTAAATTTGAAGGTTAGTTTCTTATGAATGGGGTCTATTTCATAAGACTTGCATTGAAGTTAATAAGTTTATTTGGAAAATCAGCATAAATGTATTTTAATAATATTTTCCTGATGCTTATTTGATAAAAAAAATTATATTTTTAGAGTGGATGTATTTTTATTATTTTAGTAAGCATTCTCAGTTTTACTTTAAAGTGGTCTTTTTGATTACTCCTTTGAAGCATCTTTTGGATTTTCCCCTTCCTCAGATTGATGCTATCACCACCTCATTCATTTAGGTCTGGATTTGGTTTGGTGAGAAAGGTTTTTACCTGGCTTACATGCCTTTATAGTTCTACCCATCTTGTAATCCATGCAGCATGAATTGCCCTTTTCATCTTCTGAAAACACTTTTTAATTCCCTGTCCAAGAAACCAACATAGTTCTTCCTTGCCTATTAAGTAAAGTCTGATCTGCCTTGCTTTTGGGGGCTTTCCTAAGGCAGGTCCCCAACCAAGTTTTTGCCTCGTACCTGCTTCTTTTACCCTTTACTTCACTCAGGACCAGCTTGTGACTGCTTCTTATTCCATCAAACTCATCATCTGTGTTTGTTATCCATGTTGCTATCCTTCTGCCCAGAATGATCTCTATCTCCGTGTATCTCCTCACCTACACTGCATATACTCAACTCTCCTTTTCTCTTAATGGTCTCTGCCACAGTTTGTCATTTAGTCATATTTACTATATTCTCTTAATTGTTTCTCATCTTCCACTTATTCCTTTCCTTTCTCTTCTTCAATGCTGAGATTGTTTTTACTGTTTTTAATTAACAATTGCCCACCCTACCACCATGCCATCCCTACCCTGGCATTCTGTATAAAGCAGAGCATGTACCAGGTTCTCAGTAAATCTTCATTGATATGAATGAGAAGTTCTTTTATGCTATATACCCAGCAACAACTCTTATCTGCAACCTGCAGTCTTTCCATATTTGTTGGTTTCTTGTAGTAGATAGGGTTACTAAAATTAAATGAAAAAGTATAATCATATAAGGTTTTACACTAGTCTTAGAATACTTTTTTAAAATGGGGGAACTTATGGTCATGCTGATGCCATTTGTGACCTACACTGAAAAGATACCTGGCTTCTTGATTTGATTTTCTTCTACTGTGCCAAGGAATAAAGCACCCCTCAGTGTGTTAGCCAAGCAGGACTTGGTGATACCTTTAATTCTCTGTTACCACCAGTAAGTTTTGTTTTTTATCTCAGACTTTTTTCAGACTTTTCATGGTAATTGTAACATCATTTCTACTTTGAAGGGGTTTCTGATCATCTGCTTGTTGTAGAGTGTATGGAAAGATTCCTCCCTGTGTATTTTGGTCTATAGACTTTAGTCATAGCTCAAATACAGTAATAGCTTCTTTAAAGGATCAATGTTATTGTGAGGTTGTCCAGTACAAAGAACATATAGGGTACTATTCATAGTAGTTCAGGGATACTTCCTATACATGAAAATAGGACTGAATTTTGAAGGATGAGTAAGGATTAATCAGGGGAAGGGCAGGGGCAAAGATGAACAGGCAGAGGGATATGGACACAAGCATGAACTGCAGAATAGCTTGGTGTTATTCTTCTGAAGTATTTATTACATTGTTCAGTGAGGGAATGGCATCTGTTTGGTTTTCATGTAAAAATAAACCAACGAAACAATTACTAAAATATTTCTTTAAAAAAAAAAAAAAAATAGTTTAGTGCCCTGGCCAGGTGGCTCAGTTGGTTGAAGTGTCATCCCATTAGCTAAAGGTTGAGGGTTCATTTCCCTGTCAGGGCACATACCTAGGTTGCAGATTTGATCTCCAGCTGGGGTGCATATGGGAGGCAACCGATAGATACTTCTCTCTCACATCGATGTCCCCCCTTCCTCTCTCTCTAGAAATCAGTGAAAGCATATCCCCAGGTGAGGATTTAAAAAAAATAGTTTAGAGAGTCTGATTGCATGTTTTCCAACTATTTACTATGAAAAACTTTAAACTTGTAGAAAGGTTTTTGAAAAGTACACTGAATTTTCCACTAAGGATAAGGTGAAACAGGAGTATTTAATTTCCTCTTTGCCTCCTCTTCCATGCCGCTAACTATATCCTAAAAGTCTCTTTTTGGTTTTCTCTTTTTCCATGTTACTTTTTCTTCTGCCATTTCTTCAGTTGTATAACTTTAACTATAAACTGAATATGTATAACTCTCAAATTTTCTCCTCAGTTATGAATTTTCTGCAGAGTATTTGTAAGTGTTCTATCACTACACCTAGTGGTCCCACTGGCACCCAAGACTTAATTTATTAAAAAGGAGCATATTTGCTTCATTAAATCTACATCTGCAGGATTTCCTGTGCCTTTTGCTTGCACTGTCACCTTTCCAGTTACCTCGGTTGGAAACTTTGGCTGTCTGTTCCTTCTCCTTCCATCTACGTATTCACTTATTTTCTCAGGTTTATCTTTTGAATGTTTTAACAATTCTGAGCTTGTCAGGTTCTTAATTTAGAAAGTTTTCCATAGTTCCGTTTTTGCTTATTGAATTGAATCTAAATCCTTACACTGGTATTCAGAATCTATGTTGGTCTCATTTCAGCCTACACTTCCAGCCTTATATTAGGCCCTTGGGGGCACTGTTTTAGGTTCATTTGAACTGGATTATTTATATTCTCTGATTATGCTTATCCCTTTCTACTTCTCTGCCTACCTTGTTTTGCCTCATAGAACCTTTCTTTCAGTTTTTCTCATTCTAATCTTTCTTCCTTTTCAAAGTATAGCTCAAATTGTGCCCTTTTTATAAAAAGCATCCCTTTCCTCCTACCAAGTAATCTCCTTTGGAATCTGCACAGTACTTTATTATAGTACCTACTGCATTTTGCCTTGTATTTTAGTTTTCTTAATGTCTTCTTTGTGACTATTACCCTATGGAGGGCAAGGATCATAAGTTACTCAGTTTGCTTACTCACTGTCACCACAAAACAGTTGATAGTATGTTTACTATAATGGGCACTCATTAAATATTTGAGTCAACAAAAGGATAAATTTAAGTTATATTTCTTTCCTTTTCTTTTGCTCCCTTCTCCTTCAGCTTTGATAGTGGGATGCTATGGTCACTTACCCTGGTTTGACATATACCCCATATAAAAGTAAATGTTTACCTTAGGGTTTTCATACTTGTACTGTACACCCATGTCAACTTTGAAGATTCCCTTCTCTTCCCCCCTACCTTTTTTTTTTAATCCTCTCCTGAGGATATTTTTTCCATTGCTTTTTAGAAAGAGTGGAAGGGGGAGAGAGAGAGAGAGAGAGAGAGAGAGAAACATCGATGTGAGAGAGACACATCAATTGGTTGTCTCCCGCAAACTTCCCCACCAGGGCTGGAAACCGAGCCTGCAACCAAGGTATGTGCCCTTGGCCAGAATCGAATCCTGGACCCTTCAGTCCACAGAGCAATGCTCTAACCACTGAGGCAAACTGGCTAGGGTTCCCCTCTACCCTTTTTAAACATAACAAGTTATTATATATTAAAGGAAAGTTAATGCTTTACCTCTGTAAGAAGCATTTTCAGGAGAGATAATTTTAATCATTTGAATACAGGGGTGGGCAGAAGTAAGTTTACAGTTCTGAGTATGTGAAACAGTTTATTCTTGTAATATTATTTCCTTATTAATTATTGTATTACTTACTGTTATTATTAACCTACTTTTGCCCGCCCCTGTACACTGTCAGTGTAAGGCACTGGAGAAACAAGCTGTTATCTTTATATAGCTCATCTAAGGGTAGTGGAAGGAAGAGGACTTAAAGTCATGTGTTCAAAAGGCTGACCTCTAACTCTGTGACCTCTGACTCTGTTAGCTTTAACTCTGTGACCTCTGACTGTTGGTTACCTGGGTAGAGCCCCACCTAACTCAGTTTCACACTTAGTTGGCCTGTATTAGGCTACCCCTGCTTTTAGTGGGTCTTTAGGTAAGAGCAATAAGACTATTTTCTTATCTAATTTTGGGCCCTTTGGTAGATCACCACAGTGGGATTTGGTTTTCTTACTTGAAAAATGAAGATAACAATACCTCTTCGTGTTTAAAGAGAGGCCTAGTTCTTCTATCATGATTATTTCTTGAGACGATGTAAGGTAGTCAGACAGATAGGAGTTCAGATCTAAGCTCTACCAGTTATCAGCTGTGTGATCCCTCAGAGCTCTGTTTGTTTTTTTTCCCCCTGCCAAAATGGAGATTAGAAGATCTAATTAACAGGGTGTTATGTTAAATATAACTTTGCTAATTAATGGAATGTTATGTTAAACATAAAGCGCTTAACTCTGTGGTTGGCATCTATTAGGCACTTCATAAATGGGAATGTTTCCTTCCAGGTCTGGGATATGTTTCTCAGAATAAATAAGTGTTGCCTTTTTAAATTGGGGTTTTTGTACATTCCTAGAACTTTGTGCATATGTAGAACTTTGAAACTTTATTCCTTGGAACTAACATCTGTTGTAGAAAAGTAAAGTCTTGAGTTTTCAGATGTCATTTTATAATTATAGAAGGAGATTTCACTTTGGAAATTGAATCTTGTGTAGTACAGAGATAATGCCTTTTGCTCATATTTCCTTTAGTATCTAGCACTGAATTTTTTATGTAGCAGATGGTTAATAATCATTTCTCTTTTTTCTTATTTATACAGATAGTGCACATACTAAATATGACTTCTGCAAAGATAATTTCTTTTCTCTTACCACCTGATGAAAGTCTTCATTCACTGCAGTCTCGTATTGAGCGTGAAACTGGAATAAATACTGCTTCTCAAGAGCTTCTTTCAGAGACGGGAATTTCTCTTGATCCTCGGAAACCAGCCTCTCAATGTGTTCTAGAAGGAGTAGTAAGAAAATTCTAATATACCTAGAAGAATATAAGAAATCTGTTGGAGTAGAGGGGTTGAATGCCCTACATTTTTGGATGTGTATTTGGGGGATGATGCACATCTTGTAATTCCTTTAGTTTTATCCTACTCATTTCTCATATTGCTTTGCAAGGTGAACAAGATAGAAGTGAAACATTTGTTATTTTGAACTTGTTATGACTTTCTCTTTGGTGCTAGTTCTCTCCTCCCTTTTTTCCCCCCCTTTTGCACTTGAAATAGAATCTTGAAATGAGAGGATAGATGGATGGTAAAATGTGATTGTGGTCATGACTTTTTTTATTTTGTTTTATTTTATTTATTTATTTTAAAGCATCTTTATTTATTTATTTTTTAATCCTCACTCACCCAAGGATATTTTTTCCATTGCTTTTCAGAGAGAGTAGAAGGGGGAGAGAGAGAGAGAAAAACATTAATGTGAGAGAGACACATTGATTGGTCGCCTACCGCACTCACCGCTGGGCCAGGAATTGAGCCTGCAACCCAGGTACATGCCCTTGGCCAGAACTGAACACAGGACCCTTCAGTCCGCGGGCTGACGCTCTAACCACTGAACAAAACTGGCCAGGGCTCTTTTTTCATTTTATTTGACTTTATTGAGGCATACCTTATATATTAAATACCCATTTCAAGAATATAATTTAGGGTTTTGTTTTTTGTTTTAGAAAATTTACTTAATTGTGTGGCCATCACCATAAATCAGTTTTAAAACATTTCTATCTCAGTAAGATTTTTCATGTCCATTAACTGTTGATCTCCATTCTGCCCACCCCAGGCAATCACTAACTTACTTTCTTTATCTATAGATTTGCCTTTTCTGAACATTTCGTATGAATGGATAATACAACCTATAGTCTCTCGTGTCAGACTTTTTGCACTTAGTATTAAGTTTGCATTATGAGGTTCATTCTTGTCATAACATGTATCTGTACTTTATTCCTTTCGGTTACTGAATAGTATTCCCATTCTATGGCTATATGTTGTTAAGGCTTTTTTTTTGCTTTTGTCCTCTTGGGTCTGGTGATTGATTTTCACTTTAACCCATACTGAAGTTACTTATTTTTCCCAAGCATAAGTTTAGACCTTAAATCTGTAAGATGTATGCTAATGAACATTGACTTTGTTCATTTGCATTCTAGAGGAGGAAGTCACATGGTACTTGGAGAACCTATAATTATCAAGGATTTTTTTAAAAATGGTTTCTTTCTTTTTCAGAGAGGCTGTGATAGCTATATGGTTTATTTGTTTGATAAAAGTAAGACTGTATATGAAGGACCATTTGCTTCCAGAAGTTTATCTGACTGTGTAAATTATATTGGTAAGTCTAGTCCATTTACTGACTGAGATTTAAATCTGAAGTAATATAATTTTGGTTCAACATGATTAGTAGAAATGGTCTTTGGTGTTTTTGTTGAGTATCTCATGCCTCAGCTTCCTATTTATGTGAAAAATGGATCTCTGTCATTTGGAATGTGAAAAGATAGGCTTTAAATCGCCACTCCTAACCTGGAGAAAAGGCTTACTGTCCTGAGGATAGGCCTCTCTCAGATAGAAGAATGAATCTCCATTATTCAGTAAGCCCACTTTTTTAGTTTCTTCTTCATTACGTAAGCATGTTCAAATACTGCATTTTACCCTATGAGTACTGCTTAATGTTCAGTTGTTTTCATTTATCCTGTGAAGATCAATCTTTTCTGTTGAAGAAGGTAGTGGTCAATTTCTGCCTACCCCAAACTAAAATCAAGCACAGAATTGTAAAATCAAGAACAAAATTGTGCATAAGGGCTAAAATTATTTAATATTTCCTCTATGCTACCTTTTTATTAGTTTTTTAAGGACATATTTACAGAAAAAATGAGCAGATTGAGTTTTCATGTTATCCTCCTCCCACACACATAGTTTCCCCATTTTTAACATCTTACATTAGTGTAGTACATTTTGTTACAATAAATGAACCAATATTTATTATTTACTAAAGCCCATACTTTATTCAGAATGCCTTATGCCTTAGTTTTTATCTGGTATCCTTTTTCTGTTCCAGGATCTCATCCAAGATACCACGTTGCATTTAATTGTCATTTCTTCTTAGGCTCCTCTTGGCTATGATAGTTTCTCAGACTTTCCTTGTTTTTGATGACTTTGACTATTTTGAGGAGTACTGGTCAAGTATTTTGTAGGATGCCCTTCTGTTGCAATTTGTCTGATTTTCCCCCTCATGATTAGACTAGGATTATGGGGTTTTGAGAGAAAGATCACAGAAGTACCATTTTTATCATATTATATAAAGGATACATACTGTCAATGTGGTGTATGACTGTTGGTGTAGACCTTGATCACTTGGCTAAACTAGTGTTTGTCAGGTTTTCCCACTGTATAGTTTAGTCTCTCCCCACCCCCTTTCAATGCTGTACTCTTTGGAAGGAAGTCACTATGCTGAACCTACACTTAAGGAGTGGGAAGTTATACTCTCCTTCCTTTAAGGTAGGACACCTACAGAATTTATTTGGAATTCTGCACATGAGATTTGTCTCTTTGCTTCCATTCATTAATTTATTCAATTATTTATTATATCAATGTAGATTCATGGATATTTATTTTATACTTTGGATTATAATCCAATACTGGTTTATTTATTTGGTTCAAATCATTGCAGCTTTGGCCATTAGGAGCTCTTTTAATTGGCTTCCTGTGTCTCTTTTACTTGCCCCATCAATGCGAGTTTTCTTTTTTTAGCACTTCCTTACTTCCTGGCACTACAATATACTCCAGGCTCATCTTGTATGTTTCCTGCTCCAGTCCTGGAATCAGCCGTTTTCCAAGATAGCCTGGTTCCATTATTGGAGAACAATATTAGAAAACAAGATCTGGACACTAGGTGTGCTTCTTGCTACTGGGGTATAATTTCTTAGGCCCTTTTAGGCTTTATCTTTTGAGAGGGAGAGAGATTATTTATTTTGGTCAGGCTTCCCTCTCAGACTCTTTTTTAAAAAGTGTTTTGGTTTTGTTTATTGTAGGAAGCCTCAGGAATAAGTGTGGGTATATAAGAAGAAAGGGTAATTAAGGCTATTAATTATTAGGGGAGGCAAAGATCTTTTTAGATATGTAACTTTATAATTTTGAAGTCTGCTTTAGATAATATATTTTCTCATTATGAACCCTAGTGTAGCAACCTTTCTCTGAAGGTTTTCAGTGGAAAAAAATAACAATATAATTGCCACCTTTGTGTACAGGATGACTCTTTCATTTTTGGAGAACATCTACATAATTTTGTAATGTTAAAATGGGATTTCATTGAACTTAACATACATACATACCTGCCATGATTTTAGAAAGTAGCATTCCCTTTATCAAAGAAAGAGCAAGAGAATCATAAATAGATAATTTCACAAGTCTGACATTGAAGAAAGCATATCTTATTAAACTGCTATTTACCCTGTATGTTTTCCTGAAGCTGGGTTGGTAGTCCAGGAGATGAAAATTTATTAGTCAGAGGCAGGAAAGACCATGGAAGACTGTGGAAGAGATGGGACTTGATTTAAAAATTGAAAGAAATAAAGAATTTCTATCAGAGAGAGAAAAAACAGTATTCCAGGTTGGAGGAATGCAAGAAAAAAAAGATACAGAAATAATCTCAGGCTTTGTGGTTACGTAGTGATTATGTCTTACTCATTTTTATTTCCCCTAGTATTGGGAGCAGGGTTTGTGTATTGCAGGTGCTCAGTAAATGTATATTGAACTGAATGAAACAGTGACAAGTGATTCTTTCTAGCATCCATGGGAATGATATTTGGAAGGGCTAGAAATCACGAAGAATCATTAATGAACTCTAAAAGTAACGCTTATCTTTTTCTCATCTTCTTACATATAGTACGGGACAGCAAAATACAGCTTCCAATTATACAGCTGCGTAAAGTATGGGCTGAAGCAGTGCACTATGTGTCTGGGCTAAAAGAGGACTATAGCCGGCTCTTTCAGGGACAAAGAGCAGCCATGTAAGTGGATTCTGTTGTTTATAGGGGCAGCATCATGCCCATTAATGTTCAAGAATTAATCTTGCCAGTTTTCACTAATCAATGTTCCATACAATACTAAAATATTGGGCCAATTTGAAATGTACTATTCTGATCAAACTTGTAGATTTCTTACTAATGGTATGAAACCATCCAGTTGCAATGGCTTAAGAGTAGTTTCTGAGCAGAATGTTCTAGTATAAAGGAAATTGTGTTACCGCAGGCAGAAAGTCTTTAGAGAGCAGGCTCTAGAGATCAGCTCTTTCTCATAGATTGATAGTAGAAACTTAGACTTTGGGCTTATGGCAACTTAAGTTTTTAAATTTTTGTTCAATGTTTATGAAATGTTAATTTTTATTTTTTTTTGGCTATGGTTTAGGTTAAGTCTTCTTAGATATAATACTAACTTGACAAAAATGAAGAACGCCTTGATCTCAGCATCTCAGCAATTGAAAGCTAAACTGGAGTTTTTTCACAAAAGCATTCAGCTTGACTTGGAAAGATATAGTGAGCAGATGACTTATGGGATATGTAAGTTTTTGGGTAATGTATTTGAAAGAAGTGTCTAGTCTTTTGAAGCCATCTGCTATTTTGCCTTCTTGCCTTATACCCAATTGTTTCTCTTACACTGAACATTAGAACAAGAGACAGGGCACCTTAGATCATCGTAGACCATGTTTGTTTTGAATGTTAGCTTTTATTTTAACGTTTAGTTGAGCAACTTTACAGCCCCCCCCCCATAATTGGTCTAAAGTTGTTTAGCTCCAGAAAAATACAAAAGTGATTTAAGAATTTGTGATTTTCAAGTTACATATAAAAAATAGATACAAAATCCATATTGGAGTGACTTCTTAGCCAGGGAAGTCCTAAACTACTTGTCTTTCTGTAAATAATAACACAAATAATTCTGGTTTTTTTCCTCAAACCACATACTGTGTAAATCCCACTTTTTTAGTATACATAGCCCCCAATTTTTCAGTATTTTTTTTTATTTCAGGCTTGTTTCCCTTCAGATATACTAAGGAAATGTAAAGAGCAGAGTTAAAATCAAATAATAAACTGAAGAGGTCACCACCACCAGCATTTCTGTTTGTTTTCCATTGAAACATCTTTTTTCTCCCCCTTTTTTTGGAAACAAATCCTGTGTGTATACTTGTCTTGAACAAGGTGTGTGTATCTTAGAATAAATGATCAGCAGTGTCCAGTTGGGTGAATAAGTTTACCCACTAGAGCCGGTTGTGATTGATGTTTTATATCTAGTTGTGTATTATAGACATTCTGGTGAATGGCAAAACATTATAATTATTTCATCAAATTATCTTTGACTTATCTTGTCAGTTGTATATCTGATACCGATAGAAAAAGAATGAGGTAGAGGGAATCCTTATCAGCTATATATAAGATTATATACAAAGGTGTCACTCAAAAAGTAAAAATAAAAAAAAGAATGAGATAGACCTATGTATGCTGATATTAAAAGATCACTTGGACCTTTAATGACAGTGATATTTTAATTTGGGGGGGGAAAGCAAAGAAAGAAAGGTATGTATAGATATTCTCACTTGTGAAGGAAAGGGTATGTGTCTGTATAACAGATGATTAAATTAAGATCATATAGGATGGATTGTGGAGGAGAGGAAGAGAGAGTTTTCTTTTTACACCCTTTTATAATATTTGATTTTTAAAAAAAACTCATTTTCAGGTGTCACTTTAATGATTTTCTTTCTTTTTTAAAAGAGAAAACTATCTGTATTAGTATCCTAGGGCTGCCATAAAAATTACTGTAAACCGGGTGGCTCAAAATAACAGAAATTTATCATCTCACAGTTCCAAAGGCTAAAAGTCCAATGTCAAGGTGCTGGCCAGGCCATGATCCCGCTGAAACCTGTGGAGAGGAATCCTTCCTTGTTTCTTCCTGGCTTCTGGGTGGTTTATCAGCAGTCCTTGGCATTCCTTGGTTTGCAGCTGTAGCACTTTATTCTCTGCCTCTGTCATCAGATGAAGCTCTCCCTTCATATGACTGCATGTCTATTTTCTCTTCTCTTCTTTTAAGGACCCTAGTCATATTGGATTAAAGGTTCACCTACTCCAAATTGACCTCATCTTAATTTAGCCAACTAGCTGCACTGACCCTATTTCCAAATAAAGGCACATTCTGATGTACTGAGTTAGGACTTCAGCTTCACTTTTTTTTTTTTAACATATTTTTATTGATTTCAGACAAAGGAAGGGAGAGGGAGAGAGAGATAGAAACATCAATGATGAGAGAGTCATTGATCGGCTGCAGCCCACAACCCGGGCATGTGCCCTGACTGAGAATCGAACCCTGATCGCCTGGATCCTAGGTTGACGCTCAACTGCTGAGCCACGCCTGGCTGGGCTCAGCTTCACTTTTGAGGGGACAACTTAACCCATAATATGGTTTTTGATGTTGATAGGAAAGGAGGTGGGTAGGTCAGTAGTTTCTAAGATATCCAATTAAGGCTTTTTTTTTTTTTTTTAGCCTCAGAAAAAATGTTAAAAGCATGGAAGGAAATGGAAGAAAAAGCTATCCACTATGCTGAGGTAAAATCACTGAGCTCATTCTGTGTGTTTTTCAATTTCTGATGTCTCCCTTAGAATCTTTCTTTGGTTTTGGTATGTAGAGTATTTTTCATGTCATCCTGAATATCAGATATCTAGTACATGTTTTGTGTATATAAAGGGAAGTACCATAGCGGATAAAAATAAGGGTGTTGGGCAAATGAGACTAAACTAAAGCCTCAGTGAGCTTTAGTTTCTGTATTATATTATGGGGACTGTATCTTTTCTAGTAAGGTTATGCAGATTAAATGGGAATAAATAATAAGTGGTTGTTATCACTGTAACTGGTTTAGATAGGATGGCTGCACATCCTGGTTTACCTAGGACAGTCCATTTATACTTGTCTTGCCATAATTATCAACAGTACTTTCACTCTCAAAATTATGCATGTTTGAACAATAAATTATATGGTCACGCTAGGTATAGATCATTCTCTAGGTGACAGGTTCCTTCCTCAGATCTTCCATGGTCCCACTAAGTTGTTGCTGTCCTTGGTGCCAGAACTTACCCTGAGGACACGGTGGGGCAGTTGGCATCCTGGGGTGGGAAATCTAGTGTCTATTTTTCTGCATCCTTATTTCAAGGCAGTCGGGAAAAAGAGGCAATCAAAATCATAGGACTGAGATGGCCAGTTTTTCTCTGTTGTTAGTGACACATATCTTTTTGCTCCTCAGGAAGGGAAAGCAAATGCTAGTAGTTTATTGTTGTTAGGAAAGAAAAGTGAGAAGCATAGGAACAAGTATGTTCTCATGTGAAAGATTGTCAGAATCTGAAAGATAAAGCGGCTTGAAAAAAATTGGTGTTTCATATTAAATCACTTAGTTCTCCTACAGCAGCAACAAGTCAGTCTTTGTCTGAGTTCTCTGTGTTGTGTGGTGGTAAGCCTGTCACTTCTTTTATGTTTCATCATATTGTAGGTAGGTGTCATTGGATACCTGGAGGATCAGATCATGTGCCTGCACACTGAAATCATGGAGCTACAGAAAAGCCCTTATGGAAGACGGCAGGGAGACTTGATGGAATCTCTGTAAGGACATAATCCATGTCGTTGGTATCTATAAATTTTTGCAGCAGATTGTTCTTTCTGTTTACATAAAGCCTATATGTGGTTATTTTCTATAGTTCTCCTTTCCCCAAATATGTTGGCATCATATTTAAAAAGAAGGTTTTTTTCTTAGTCGTCAGAAATATTAGAAGTAACTCTTTGGGTTGATCTTTACTGTTTTAATCAAAGAATCTTTTCATGTGAGTGTTAAGAATTTTTTAAGTATTCCAAGTTATACACTGTTTCCCTACTTACCATACTTATGGTCCAAGGTATTATCTATTAAATGCCTGAAATAAAGTTAACTTCCTAAATGTTTGGGTTAGAAACTTCAGATGTTTTTTTCTAATCACAGGCCATAATTTTTGCCCATTTAAGTGTTTCTGATACAAGGATCAGATATGTGGTGGTAGACCACAGCAGATAAGAAGTATATTAAACTTTGCGTTTTAATTATGCAGTGAAATTCTCTGTAAAATATTCATTGGCAATATACACTTGCTTTAAAATTGGATCATTACTCTCTTCAAATAATATTGTTCATTTCAAGTTGTGGATCATTAGTCATTATCTTCACATAGAAGCATGTTTTCTCTTTCTTAGGGAACAGCGTGCCATTGATCTATATAAGCACTTAAAGCACAGACCTTCAGGTAAGACACTTTCATCACAATACACAAAGGCATTTTAGGAAACCATATGAAGCCTAACAAATTCTGGGGACTAGATTTTAAACTAGCTGCAGAATAAATTCCAGTTTTGGTATTTCCTTGAGATGTTTATGGTGCAACAGCCTTTAGTTTGTGAGAATTTATGAGATTAAAAAGGCAAAAGTAGGAGGAGATGTGGCTGGATCATAAAGGATCTGGTATGTCATGGGTAACAAGTTTAGATTTCATTATGGTGAATGCCAAAGAGAAACCCTAAAAAGTTTTAAGTAGGGAAATGGCATGATCAGATTAGCATTTTAGAAATACTACTCTGTTAGCATGTGGATAATGGATTAAACTGTGGCTAGGCTAGAGACCGGGACATTAGTTATGAGGTGTTGAAATAATCATAGTTCAGTATAGGGTGAACCACGAGGTAAGGCAGAGAGCCTGAACTATGGCAGTGGGGTAAAGAGGAGGGTAAAGGCAAGAGAGATATTCAGGAGGTAGAACTTAAAGTGTTGGTTGATGGATTGAACATGGGTGGCTGCAGATGGAGTTAGGGAGTCATGGATGCCTCCTAAGGTTCTGGCTAGGGCAGCTGGGTGCATGGTAGGACTGCTCCATAATAGGAAGTAAAGGAAGGATGACAGATTTGATGGGAAAAGAAGGCGAGTTCATTTTTGTATGTGATGTTAAGGTGTCAGTGGAACATTTAAGTAGAACTGTCAAATAAACAGTATTAGATATATATGTATGTATGAACAGGAAGTCTTTAATGTCATCAGTAGGTTCTGCAACTTTAAGTGAAATGACATATAGCGAAACCAATTTTACGCTAGGCTGGTTGATTTAAACAAAAGTTAAGTTCCTATGACATCTTGTCAACTTTATAACCAAATGATGTTGAACAAAACTATGTTATTTGCGAACCTGCTATATATAGAGGTATATATGTACATATGTACACACACACACATATACACATACATACATATGCATATGGATTTAATAGAGAAGTCTGAGTTAGATATTCGGCTGTTTTGAGAGTATTTAGCTGTAGGAATAAAGTGGTCATCCTGAAAAAGAAGGTTGAGTAGGAAAGCCAGGGTGGATGGAATCCTAGGAAGTACCAACGTTGAAGAAATGGCTAGAAGCAGAATCCAAGAAGATTGAGAAATGCCAGAATATGTAGAGGGAATGACATGATAGGGTCAGGACAGAGAGTTTCATGAAGAAAGTAATCAGGGTGAAATGCTACAGAAGTGTAAGTAATAAAAATGATAAAATATTCATTGGACTAAGCAGTTTGGACTTCATTGTGATTTGGACAAAATATATGTGATCTTGGCCTTTTGGGAAGAGAAACCATTGTAGTGAGCTGAGGAGGGAATGGGACAGGAGGAAATGGAGAAGTCAGTCTCGACCAGCAGTTCAAAAAGTGTGTTTCATGAACACCTGAGGATCCCTGAAACCTTTTCAAGGAGTCAGTGAGGTCAAAACTGTTTTCAGGATACTAGGATGTTATTTGCCTTTTTCACTATGTTGACATTTTCACTGATACTGCAAAAGCATTGGTGGGTAAATGGCTTGCATCTTACTTAGCATGAATCAAGGCAGTAGCACCAAACTATGCTAGAAGTCATTATACTTTTCACCACCATGCAGTTACAAGGTTTTTTTTAATGCCAGTTTCATTTAAGTGTCCTTGATAAAGCAGTAAAAATTTTATTTAACTCTCAACCCTTGAGTACATGTCTTTTTAATATTCTGTGTGATGAAATGGAAAATACTCATAAGTGCATCTGCTGTGTACTGAAGTATGATGGTTGTCTTAAGGAAAACCACTTCAGCAATTGTTTACGTTGCTTATGGACTGACTTCTTTAACGGAACACCATTTTTACTTAAAAGAAAGACTGTCAGACAAACTGGTTATTCATATTTGGGTATGTGGCATATATTTTCTCAAAAATTAATGAAGCATGCTGCCTGTCACTTTCAGGGAGAAATATCCAACAATATTAGTTGTCAATGATAAAGTTCCGTGTTTCAAGCAAAATCAGAATTGAAGAAAACTTGTATCCAGCAACTAAAATTTTTTAGCTTCTCCATACTTAAAAGACTTTTCTGATGAGATGAGTGGTAATATTAAAACAATTTGCAAAAATGTAAAACAATGCCAGTTTTCTCACTACATTTCTTTTTGTTTAGGAAAATAGTTATTTTTAATAAAAATGTTAATAGTTTGTTCTTACTTTTAAATGAATAAATATATTTTTTTAATTTCTCAGTTTAATTCCTGAATAATACTCTGGTGTTTTTAAGAGTTTTTTTAGTGTAAAGGGGTCTTGAGATCAAAAGTTTGAGAACTGTTTATCTAGGCTATTTTTCCCCCCCCAGAAGCTTGGCGTTTAAGGAAAGAAGAGAGGTGAATAGCTATGAGGAGATGTAGAATCAAGGGAGGTCAATTTTCAGAAGGAAGACTTGTGCATATTTATGTGCTTGGGGCCAAAGCCTGTGAAGAGGGAGCTCCCTGAACAAGTTTGAAAGGCTGACTCTATAGAATAGTGCAGGGATTAGGCTTGCTGCCACTGGCGTTAGAGGAAGGATGGTGTAGATACAGACACTTTTGTGAGTGTAGGGGTTGGAAGGTGAGGGTCTTATGGCCTCCTGTCCTGAAGTGAGAAGTGAGGTTAACTGTAATGGATGAGGTGATGACCTCATAGATTTAAGGAGTCTGCTAAAGATTTTAAAAAGCTGGTATGTGCAATGGAAGATGTTGCTGACCCAGCACATTTATTAAGAATCCAGAGAAGAGGTGAAAACCTGTGAATTAATAGTTGACAACAGAGGGAATGGTAGTATACTTTTTTTTATTGGTACTGTTGTAGCTTGGATATAGGAACTGATAGAGCAGATGGTTAGACCGATCCAGGGCTAGGATTTTACTGATAGAATAAAAGGACAAAAAGTTGAAGATATTGACAAAAGGTAATAGAAGTGATAGAAGTTGTGGTTAGAGTAAAATACTAAAATTAAAGATATCAAATAGAGAAGTCTAAATCTTACTTTCTTAAATTAGTATTCATTACTCCCAGTGTTCTAGCCAATGATTTAGATATTGCAGATGAAGATATATAACATTCCATTGATCTACTCAATCAAATTGAGTTTCCAGTCAGTGATAGCATTTATTTGGATGATTTTTATAAAAACTTCACAGTACCCATGAGAGCATGTCTGCGTATCATAGGGCCCAGAGATAACAAAGTACCCATGAGAGCATATCAGTGTATCATAGGGCCCAGAGATAAAAGTCCTATACAGGTAATTTCTTTGAACTGAGAGTCACCTTAAGTGACAAACTAGTTAGTTGTAACAAGTTTCATCTATTGTTGTGGCTTATATAATCACACGATATATATTCTGGTGTCATTTCTAGCTTAGAGTTGACTTGAGACTCCTGTTCAGTGGAAAATAGTAAAAACCAACTTTCTTCATTCTCTGTGTTGGAGAAGGAAAATTCTGAGGTCTTTGAGCATCTGAGAGAGTTTGTTCTGTGGGAAAGCTTTTGGGCTTCATCTGTGGGATTAAGGAAGGAGTGCTCTTTGGAGAGGAGTCTTTTTGGAGCCTCCTTATCTAGTTGTTGGTGAGGGAGAGACAGAAAGATGTGTGGGAAATAGATAAGGTTGAACTATGGGGGAGGTCTTTGCAGTGATAACAAAGGACATTGTACTTTTTCTAAACCTCTTGGTATTCTTCTATAGTAAAATGTTGATAACAACAGTAGCCACCTTACAGGACTTCTGTGAGGGTTAAATGAGAAAATTATAAGTAGTTAATAGCAAATAATATTTTTGTATTTGAGATTGTCCAAGGAAATGCCAGCATGATCCATGAGCAGCCATCTGATTTTTTAAAACTTAGCCATTTTCTGAAATATAACAATTAATAGTTGTTGTTTTTTAAATTAAAGTAACATCTAAAAACTGTAGAACTCACTGTGAGCACATAACCATCCCATTTGAGGACATTTGTCAGCTGCCAGTTTGCCTTAAGATGTTATCCTATCCTTAAACTGAACTTTCAGGGTGTCTACAGGTCCTTTTAGTAGTGTATGAGATTTGGCTTAAGTCTGTCACTTTTTCTAAGTTTTTATGGGCTGCGAACAGATGAATAAACCTGAAATTACATGCAATCTAGTTAGGGCAAGGGCCTCCTTTTTCTCAGGCAGTGAAAGTTTGATGAATTGTCCTACTGTTTCTAAATAAATGATGTTAATCATCCAAGAAAGATTGCTCTCTTGGCTAGAAGGCTGCATGTGTGTCTGGGGCTTGGGTTAGTATGAGTTAAAGATAGGTAAAGCTCTTTTCAAAACAGGCAACTAAGGTTTCTGAAGATACAATGATAAATGTATATATATATGTGTATATATATATATATAATATATGCACAAACACACATACTTTTAGATATATGATTATAGCTATATGATCTTAAAATCATCTTAATCCAGTTTTGAATTTAAGTGGAGATGTTATTAATTAAAACTAGTTTCAGATTTTTAGGAATTTTTTGTTTTGGAGGCTGACATGTTCGTGCAGAAGAGAGGTTATACTCACTGACTGAGGTCTTTTATAGATCACTTCTACAGTGACAGCACGGAGATGGTGAAGATCATTGTGCATACTGTGCAGAGTCAGGACCGGGTTCTGAAGGAGCTGTTTGGTCATCTGAGGTAGAAAAATCACTTTATTTCCTATTGAGAAGCCAGGGTATTTTTATCACCTTCCTTTCAAAGTGTAATACCCCTTTTTGGTAAATACAGTAGACCCAGGAAGAGCTCTGGCAGTACCTTGGGTCTCTCAACCACAGCTATGCACATTTAGGTGTCCTGTTTTTGTGCACTGCTTTGAAGATCAGTCATTAAATCTGACTCTGATTGTGGTTTATTTATTCAGCTGGGTTTGGGAGTATGGTGTATAGTCTTGGGAAATGTGTAAGTTTCTAACACCAATTTCATCTCTCCAGCAAGTTGTTGGGCTGTAAGCAGAAGATTATTGATCTACTGCCCAAGGTGGAAATGGCCCTCAGTAACATCAAAGAAGCTGACAGTACTGTCATGTTTATGCAGGGAAAGAGGCAGAAAGAAATATGGCATCTCCTTAAAATTGCCTGTGTAAGTAACTTTTAATGAATTACTTAATGTGACACTGATATGCTGTTATTCCCTGCAAAAGGGGTTTTTGTCAGCATGATCTGGATCCTTTTGAAAACCTGTATATTTTGTGTTGGGTTGATGCTCATATTCTTTGCTTGGCGTCTGACAACAGTTCAGATGCAGGACTTCATGATTACCCTTCATTGTCTTGCCTTTCCAGTCTTCTGTTTTTATACCCCTCTCAGTCCTAGACCACTGTGGTATCCCAACCTGATTTGGGGATAGATGTGCCTGACTAGTTAATAAAAAACCCTTTGTTCAAATGGTGTTTTTTCCTTCTCCAACTAAAGTGGAATTAGGTGGGTAGATACATTTGGTTTTCGTCAATAAAGATTAGGCCTGGGGACAGAATTAGTAGTGGTATGTAATACCCACTACTGGAAATAGTTTTGTGCAGAGATACTCTGGTTATACACATAAGTTGTGATAGAAGTGTAAGTCTTAGGAATATGTTAGGAAATTGTATAAATCAATGGAGATGTTTGTCTATAATCTTATTTTTTAATTTTCCTTCAGACACAGAGTTCGGCTCGGTCCCTTGTAGGATCCAGTCTAGAAGGTGCAGTAACTACCCCTCAGGCATCAGCATGGCTGCCCCCGACTTCAGCAGAACGTGAACATCCTCTGTCATGCGTGGTAACTCCTCAAGATGGGTGGGTTCACTTTGTAACAATAGATAGTTGTATTTCATAAGCAGTAATAGGAATGAGGCAGTAGAGCATAGTAGTTAAGGCATAGTCTTCAGTGCCCTATAGACTAGGGTTGAGCGCTGACTGTCCCTTTGTAATAACCTTGTGCAATTAACTGGACTCTTGTAATGTTCACATTTCCTCACCTGTAAGATGGGAACTGCTGTGAAAATTAAATTAAACAACACATATAAAGTACTGGGAAGTAAATACGTATTCAGCAAATGTTACTTATTAGTTCAATCCAAGTTCTAAGTTCTCTCTCTGTTGTTGGCTTATTGGTTCTTTTACCGAAACTTTATTCTTTCCTTAATCATTTATCTCTGAGAAATTATGCTGTCCTTTTGCATTTACCATTTTGGGGTCTTGATCACCCTTTTAATGAATTGTTGAGTTTAATCTACTCTATTTTATAACTTAGTATTCTAATATCAGACTTTTTAATGCCTTAAATCAGTTTTGCAAATAAGAACTGAAGTGTGAAGCCCTATATTTTCTTTTATTAATTCCTGCTCTTCTGCTAAAAGCTGAATGACTATCCATTTCTGTTATTTTTCTCAGCATAAGATGTGCCGTATCCAGAGCCAGTGGCTCTTTGCTAGCTTGTGTATTGTCGCTTTTCTCACAACTCATGGAGACCTCTACAGCACCAGCATTTCCTGGAAGCTCTGCCCATAATTAGTTTTGCAGAAGTGCAACCATGTTACATCACTGCTCAGGAGGTCATGCAGTTTGCATATTCTGTACTCTACTTTTATGAGAGAAAAGCACATGGCAGGAAGGCAAGCTGATAACAGGTATTTTATTTTTTTAAAGAAAGCAAGTTCCAGGTTATATCTTGGGGTCATTGTAGATTTGGCCCAGTGTAATACATCCATAGCTACAGCACAGGCTATAATTAATTATATAGACTTTAGGAAATAATTCCATCAATCAGAGTTAAATTAAATAAAATTTAATACACTAACCTATTTTCATTAAAGGCATTTAGGTTTGTTAGGGGATGTTAAAATGGTTGCAGATGTCACCTCTATACAGTGAATTTCAGATTTGAGGTTGTGGTTGTTTGTAAAAGTGTATCTGACAGGAATTTTAAATATATTTTCCAGTAGGAATACAATATAAAGGAAAACTAGTTTCAATTATTAATGTACCTGTGGTACTTAGCTACCAAAGATTGGGAACTGTTGGCCTCAATTTTTCCATCTGTTGAAAAGGAGCTGAATTAGAATTTAGTTCTAAGCTAATAGTGGGTATCATCCATGACCTAGAACTGATTCTAATAGGGTAGAGAGACTGAGGAGTGGTAAAAGGCGAGAATGGAGATCATATGGAAGAGGAAATCATGGAAGGCAGAAACCAGAATTTAAGGATTTCCTTAAATATAAACTTCTAGGAATTTTCTTGGTTCTGGGCAGCTCCCCTGTCACACCATTTTCTTCTGCTGTCTTCAGGAATCAGCTTGCTTGTTTCGTCTTTTCATTGCTGTCATCTGTAGTTTTCAACCAGAGTTTTTCACATTCCCTGATCTTTGCAGAACAGATTGTACTTTTGTATCTTCTCCCCTGCATTTGTGTCTCTGAAAAGTAAGCATGCTGATGTTCTTAATACTTGTAAGGAAAGGGAAATATTACAGAAACAAAAAGAGATCTTTCGTCTGTCTATGCCACAAGGATCTACCCCTCACCCCCACCCAGTTAGCATTTCCCGGGAGGGTGAGGTGGATGTATATAAGTACCACTTTTATTTCAAAGGAAAATCATATTGGAGTTATAGTGGACTTCTTATTGTTAAAGCTGGGCAGAGGCAACAATTGGAGTAACAAGCAGGGCTGTGCCTCTGGGTGGGAAGGGTGAGGAAACTGAAGACTACAGGAATCAACTGTATTGTTGGGGGGCAGGAAAGGCATCGATCATCCTCACCCTGAAGACCAAAAAGTAGAGGAAATTCATAAGCACTTCGCTGAATTTGAAAAGGCTTCTTTTTCCCCCCATCTCACAGGGAGTCCTTGACACAAATGATAGAAGAAAATTTGAACTGTCTTGGCCATTTAAACACTATTATTCATGAAGTAAATGAGGAAAAGAGTAGTAGGATGATGGTAAGTTTTATATGAATACGGATGTGTATTTTAGGTATTTGAGTGCAAAGCATTTAACTTTTCATGCTAGCCTTACCTGGCATTTGGGATGCATATGGGTAATAGAAGAACTCAGAGGAAAGAGAAAGAACATTTGAGGAATATCCTTTACCCCAAATCCCCATCTTCTCTTACCCATGCATGTACTAGGATTATGTCATCAATAATCTTCAACAATAGCATTTTTGGTCAAATTAAATGATTGGTGAGCTTCCTTTGCAATATGACCACTAAAATTGAATGGTATGTACCTTTTTGCTTCAACAATCAATTTTCTTCAATAAGATGGGGCAGGATTTATATTATAATTCAAATATAGTAACTGCTATATACAAATGAATACTGTTAATATAGTTGTAATTAATAGAAGTATTTATATTAATAATATTTAGTAACTGAATTACTGATTTGTTAAAACTTGGAGAAGCTACAATAAAATATTTACTGGATTAATTTTTACTACATTTAGTCTCAAGGTCAACTTTTTATATTTCCTCTTTCATTAATTATTTGCTTCAAATATTTATGAAAACTGAAGTATTTTTTTAATTAGCAGAAAATAAGGTAAACTAAACTCTATCACTTATTTATGCTTTTAATTTTTAAACTTTTGACTATATAATGCCCAAGCATACTTAGAAAACTTGTAAAAATCAACACCCATAAACCTACCCCTTATAGTCAACATCTAATTGTAATTTTTTATGCCTGGTTTTAGAATCTTGACTGGAGTTGGTTGACAGAATGACTCGCCACTTATTCACTGCACCCAAACCAATGGAAGTTGTTGCTGCACGTGTTCAAAATTGGTTTTCTCCATGAAACCATTCTTCAGACACTAATCAATGGAAGAAATGGCTGTGATCAAAAACTATGCATGGTTTTACATGGGTAATATTTTGGCTTTGGGTAATTTTAACCCCTGAACAGATAGAATTTTATGTCCGTGAACTTGTTTAAATACTACAACTAGTTAGGAGCGTCACTGCAACCTATTTGTTTTTAAACTTTGTAAAACATTACTTAACTGATTAAAAATACCTTTCAACATTTAACTTTTGGGCATAAGGCCAAAAGTAATATATACAGAGAAGGAAACCTCAACTAACGTGTTCCAAGTAAACATTGTTTGCGTGTGTTTCTGTGGCAGAGACAGTTCAGAAGTAAAATTGTACTTCTTGAAGAATAAACCCTACCTCCTTGTGTTGCCCTCAACAGTGCTCTTTTTGGCATCATAAGGAGTTGGGTCATGCCCATTTTCAATTTTATTACACCTTTGACAGTGCATCTGTGCTGTTAATATCAGTGGGCTGTCATAAGTGTGCTATGTGTATATGTATTTAAGATGTACATTTAGTAATATCAGAGATGTCTGTTAATTTATAATGTATTTGAAAACTTATCTGTCTTTTCATTTGTAAAAATGAGTCATTTCTTTTAGGAATCTTTCATGTCTCGTCATACAAATAGAACAGTCTGCACTCCCTTATCTGTAATTCCAAAATCTAAAAAGCTCTGAAAACAAGGTTTTTCATAAGCTTGGTGACAAAACCCATTTGCTGCAAATCTAACTTGAACTGACAATTGAATTTACTTATCCCATTTAGTGTGAATCTTCATGTATTTTGCTGCAGAAATATTAGCATGTTTGATTATTTGGTGGAGAAGGCTGCTGCCACATACGCTGCTGGGTGTTTATTTAGTATGGTATATGCACTGAATATTCTTTCAAAAACCTGAAAATTTCATAATTCTGAAACATCTGGCTCTAACAACTTCAGATAAAGGATTGTGGATCTATCATCTTGTTAAGTAACTTAAAAGATGCTTGTTTTTAAAAAATGTGAAATGCTTTTGTATTATAGACAGTTTTTCACTTGGTGTATTAAATGATTTTTAAATTACTTTTTTACTGTATTCATTAAAACCAGATGAATAGAGTTAGTTGATCCTTGAACACGGGGGTTAGGGGTGTCAACCCCTCCACACAGTCAAAAATCTGAGTATCATTTTAGTCTCTACAGTTGGCCCTTCACATCTGTGAATTCAACCAACAGAGGTTGGGAATGCGAAAATACTGTTTTCTAGCCATGGTTGGTTGAGTCTGCGGACATGAAACCACCAAATATTTTTAAAAACTGTATATAGGACTTTTGGGTAAACACAGTACTCACCTCTTCCCACAACCACATCACAATCACAGCTAAACATTCAGAACTGTCGGAAACCTGGCTGAATGAAAGTCCTACAACTAGGGAATTGAAGCCATGTGGAGACTGCTAGGAGGGGCGGAGATGCAGAAGGGGCTGGCCCCAGACCCATGTGTGGTGGATAAAAATTGGGAGGGATAGCTCAGCTACAGTGGTCCCCCCTAAGGAGTAAGTTCCCAGCCCCACACCAGGTCCCCCAACCCAGGGTTTCAGTGCCAGAGAGAGAAGTCCTCATAACTTTTGGCTGTAAAAACCAGCAGGGATTGAGGCTGAGGGAGACGGAGGCTACAGGGGTTCCAGGAAGTTCTCTTACAGGTTCTCTGCACAGACTAACTCGGACTCGCTCCCTGTGAGCTTCAGCACTGGGGCAGCAGCCTGATAGGCACCAGAGACTTACGGGAGGAACTAGATTCTCCAGCATCAGGGTAAGAGAGCTTGGGGTGGTGGGGCAGCTTTCCCAGAGAGAAATGCTGGCAGCAGCCATTTTTCCTTTGATGAGCCCTTCCCCCACACAGCTGGCAGGCAGGCACCAAATCTGAGACTCCATCAACTTGACTCACACAGTTTGCCCCACCTTGGTGATTCCCTGAAGCCCTGCCCCACCCAACTTTCAAGCCCACCCAAGCTGTTTCAGTGGCTTTTCCATACAAATGGCCTGTCTTGGCTCAGGCTTCAGATTTTCCTAAAATCTCTCTAACAAGCAGTATCTGTCCTCAGTGTGCCCTGTACCTCTTGCTAAGTGTCCCCAGCAATGGCACTAGCTGCCGGCCTTGGTTTGCAACTTGGTCTCACCTGGACAACTCCAAGTCCAGCGTAAGTAGCAGTCATCTGCAGATTGCTTTGTAGTGCATGTCTGGTGGCCCCAAGCAGAACACAGGCAGAGGCTGACCTTCGCCTGCACCTCCTTGGAGGCCTCAGAGCCAGTATACCTAGTGGACAGCTTTAGACCACGTTGAAGCATTACCATGCAACCACCTCCACAAGGAACACACAGGGTGGACTCAGAGCTCCACTAAAGTAAGTCTCACTCTGTGGGGTGGGCCCCTGCACAGCTGATCCTCCACAGTGGTCAGAGGTGGATGGTCACAGCCAGTACCTGCAGCTCATCAGCCTGGGAATAAGTGCATCCTGTTGAGGTGCCAACAGCAATGAAGGCTCAGCTACAAGGGGAGAGTGTACACAGCTCACGTGGGGGGATGAGGAGTGCACCGCACCTCAAGTGCCCAGCTTGCGTGATCAGGGAGGCTGTGCCACTGGACCCTACAAAACACCTACTACATTAGGCCACTCTGCCTGGGAGATGTAGCACCTCTACCTGATATATAGAAATAAATACAGGGAGGCTGCCAAAATGAGACAACGAAACATGTCCCAAATGAAAGAACAGAACAAAACTCTAGAAAAAGAACTAAACAAAATGGAGACAAGAAATCTACTGGATGCAGAGTTTAAAACACTGGCTATAAGGATGTTCAATGAACTTAGAACCTTAACAGCATAAAAAGGACCAGTCAGAAATGAAGAATAACTGAAATGAAGAATAATTTACAGGGAATCAATAGTAGAGTAGATGAAGCCAAAAATCATATCAGTGATTTGGAATATAAGGAAGCAAAAAATACCCAATCAGAAGAGCAAAAAGAAAAAAGAATCCAAAAAAATGAGGATAGTGTAAGGAGCCTCTGGGATAACTTCAGGCTTACCAACATTTGCATCGTGTGGATGCCAGAGGAGAAGAGAGAGAGCAAGAAATTGAAAACTTATTTGAAAAAATAGTGACAGAAAACTTCCCTAACATGGTGAGGGAAATAGATATACAAGTCCAGGAAGCTCAGAGAGTCCCAAACAAACTCAAAGAGGCCCACACCAAGGCACATAATAATTAAAATGCAAAAGGTTAAAGACAAAAGGAGAATCTTAAAAGCAGCAAGAGAAAAGCAATTAGTTACCTACAAGGGAGCTCCCATCAGACTGTCAGCTGCTTTCTCAACAGAAACTGCAGGCCAGAAGGGATTGGCAAGAAATAATCAAAGTGATGAAATGTAAGGACCTACAACCAAGATTACCCAGCAAAGCTATCATTTAGAATCAAAGGACAGATAAAGAGCTTCCCACACAAGAAAAAGCTAAAGGAGTTCATCCCCACCAAACCAGTATTACATGAAATATTAAAGGGTCTTCTTTAAGAAGGAGGAGGGGGAAAAAAAGATAAAAAATATGAACAATAAAACGGCAATAAATACGTATCTATCAACAATTGAATCTAAAAAACAAGCATAACAGAAACAGACTCAGATACAGGGAACATTTTGACAGTTGCCAGATGGGAGGGAGTTTGGGGGGATGGGTGAAAAAGTGAAGGGATTAAGAAGTACAAATTGGTAGTTACAGAATAGTCATGGGAATATAAAGTACAGCATAAGGAATATAGACAATATTCTAAAAACGATGTAAGGTATCAGATGGGTGCAAGATTTACTGGGTGCGTGATCACTTAGTAAGTTATGTAATGTGTAATCACTGGGGTGTACACCTCAAACTAATGTAATAATGTATGTCCCCACTGTAATTGAAAAAAAATGAGGAAGGAGAAAAAACCCCCACTATGTATAAGTGGACCCATGCAGTTCAAACCTGTGTTGTTCAAGGATCAACTGCTGTTGAATATGGTTTGGGAAAATTGGAAGTTTACATGAAGTGGAATTGGAGCACAGAATAATACAATGAGCTTTCCTTAGGAATTATACAGGACTTACAGTAAAGACAGTATTTGTGGCTGCTTTAATATAGTCTTTTCACATGAGATGTCCTATCACCACTATCCATGTCTAAAAGCAATGCTCATATTTTGCCCTAACAAATCAATGTCTTAGTCACACTGTTACCTTTTTGCTTGTAGTGTCATTTTCCCAGTTATCTAAGTTTGAAACCCTGGGGTTGTCTTCTAACATTTTAGTCATCTGATGCTACTGTTTCTCTAAATATAGAAATTTGTCAGCTGTTACAATAGGCAGTCTCACCTTTGCTTCTCTAGTTATAGAAGGTTTTAATCAAGAAACATTTATTGGGTACCTATAGAAGATATTGAGCTAGATAGCAAAATCAGAAATAGTTAATAGACAGTACAGTAAGAAAGAATGCTTATCTGGGAGTCTGAACACTAAGCCATCCAAGCACTGAAATTATTATTATTATTTTAAATGTCTTTACTGATTTCAGAGAGAGGAAAAGAGAGGGAGAGAGAGAGAGAGAAACATCAATGATGAGAGTCATTGATTTGCTGACTCCTGCACGCCCCCGGATGGAGCCCGCAACCCAGGCATGTGCCCTGACCTGGAATTGAACCTCCATCTCCTGGATCCTAGGTCGAGGCTCAACCGCTGAGCCATGCCCGGCCAGGCAAAGGATTTTTAACATGATCATGTATTGTCTAAATAATGTAATACCTGATAAAAGATCTGCTGTAGGGTGGGGCCATTTTTATGTAGTGTGGCTGGGGTGATGGATGTCAGGGTAGCCTGACCAATATGATATGGGCAGGTAGTATGAGTCAGAACAGATTATTATATTAAGATCACCTCAGACTTGCTTTTGATGCATGAGTTGGCCACTCTATTTTTTTGCTGGGTGACAACTTTTGAGTTGAATGGCAGTTGTAAACTGTATGCATTTCATTCCCTAAATCAAGCAATATTATGAAAAACTAGGAGAATCCATCCAGAAAACAGGAGCTGGAACAAGTTATTTTTTTCATTCTTTTTGCTTTTTAGAAGTTAAAACAGCTAAGCTCTACAAATATCGTTGATCTGGAACAGACAAGGTCCCAGATATTCCTAGGTAATATAAGGCAAATGAACGAAATAGGTAAGTATATTTATTGAAAGAAGAGGGTAGAGTGGTCTGGGAGGGCTTTCTTTAAGGAAGATTTGAAGTCTATTTAACCCTTCCCATTTCCACAGTTTTCACCATTGCAACTTTGCGCCTGCAGTTTCTAACCGCTTCGCTCCCTGCCTCCAATCTATCTACACTCTATACCATTTTGCAGACTCACTGGACCTAAAGCACTCCTTTCCCATACTTCCCTGCCCAAGAGGTTACAGAGCCCTCCTACCCAAGTCTCCTTGTCCAGTTATGGTCCCGCTGCTAGCCTTTGAAGGCTTACAGTAACCCTTACTGCCTAACCTACTCTAATATGCTGCCCTAATTTCCCTGGAATTCGTCCATCTCACTCCTGTCTCTACTCTTCTTTTCGTTAACATATGCACATAATGCATATTTTTAAAAGAACAGAAGAATATACAGTAAAAAGAAAGCCTGTCTCTTTCTATTCTCTAGCCATACAGTACGCCGTCCCTGCAGAAAAGGGGCATTGGAGCCTTTCAAAACCTGGCCTAGCCTGCCATCCCACTCCTTTCCATCATACTGGCTTCAGGGAGGCTCAAATGCTCACTGTACCTTTTCGTTTTCTTAGAGGATCCATTCCTATTGCTTGGATGGCCTTCATAAAGCCCTCACGAGATTAGCATTCCGGCACAGTAAGAGATACTCCGAAAAATACTTGATGAATGAATATGAGGTTAGATTGAATATCTGCCTCTTCTAACCTTCCACTTTACTTGCAAAAGTCTGGCTGCTCCTGAATTCAGTGTAGGTTCCATTCTTAAAGCACCTGTTTGCCACGTAGGCTTCGGTATA